ATTTCCCTCTGGGATTATTAAAGTATTTCTGATTCTGATTGTAGAAGTAACATCACTATATCCATAAATCACACCTCCCTAGTATTATAGTTTGTGGTGTGTGTTTTTTTTTTTTTATAAAGATTATTAATCCCTTTTACTGTGATGTCTGATAATCTAAGATCGATTGTATTTTCAACCAGTAAAAACTAACTAAATAAAAAACTAATACGGTTCACAAAAAAAAAAAAAAGTTGGTTTGCAGACTTTTATTTTGAAATAAACAACAGGAAGTAAAGTCTCTAAATCCTCCTGACTTGATTCCAGTGTGTCAGTCAATCACCATGGTGGTGGCATACAACAGAACACAGCAAACTGCGGTGGACCAATTCCCACTTTTAGCTGCCTCCTAATGCAGAAAGAAAAATGTTTTTTTCTTTTCTTCAGTGAATAGGAAGAGTTTTGACCTTTCGTGATGGGTGCCATGTTGTTGCAGAAAGGTTAGCTCGTAGCCGTTAGCTTTCCTTTTGTTTACCGGATCCTTTATGGAATTTCTTCACGTCGTTAGCAGAAATGCTGAGGAGACGAGGAATATCTTCCCTTAACACCGGCTTTAACGGTGGGACTTTAGGTTTGACAGCGAGAAAATAACCCAGAGGAACCGTTTGACCCGTTTTTTTTTTTTTAAAGAGAAGTTTTTAAATAATTAGCGGCGGCGGGGACTGCAGTTGGCAGCCGGGTTTCGGGTTGGGCAGCGGAGAGGGACCGATACCCCGAGGAGAGCGCTCGGCTGTCTGGCTCCAGTCGTGGCCTGGCTTCGGGCACTCCCAGCTTCGGAGCTCATTTACCAAGGATAAACTAAAACAAGGAGAGGACTACAATTGTGCGTATCGCATTTGAACTCAAGTGAAGCAGTTTTAAGGATATACAAAAAAAAAAAAAAAAAAACTGTGCTACACGCCGCCTTCCAAGACAATGGCGTCTTATGTGGATAACCGCTTTCGGCAAGCTGTGATGATGAATCCGGCTGAACGGACGCAACAGGTCAGTTTTCTTCATTCTGCTACAAAAGGAAGCAGTGGTTCTTATTTTTGTTGCAACATCACAACCTTATCTGCAACACTTCAGCAGTGGGTCCAACTGTTATTTATTTTTGGTTACGTACGCTTACATTCCCTTTATCAGCTGAGATAATCACCTATAGTTAACATTCAAGAGGAGCTGCTACGATCGTGGGAATCTAACCCGCGTGTGTTCGGATCGTGGTTTTTTCACTGTTGCGTGCAAGCCTTTACTCCATTAAATGCACTCCTAATACATCAGTGGTCTGACATCAGGGTTTTGCACAAGCCTAATAATAAATCAGGTGCAGGGAAACAGGGAAATGTTAAAAAACAGCAGGGTCCGATGTATTTTGCATGCAGAAATTAGACATTTTGAAGTTTAACAACTGGGTTAAACATTTTAGTGCACTTTTCAGAACAGCATCTTATTAGTTGTCATGCACAGAAATGATCATAAGCTTTTCTCTCATCACATAACAGCAGTCTTTAAAATGGATGTACACCGCAAAGTCTGTGCACATATATTATTTGCAATAACAGGTGTATTATATTGACTGCAAAACATTGCATCCAATGCAATTATTTGCAATTGCAGAGCTCATTGAGTGACAGACTGCTGCACCCTAAAGGCCCCAGGGAGCATTATCAGAGATTCTTCCTCCCAGCAGCTGCAAGACTTTATAACCATCAAAGTTCCTAACAACCTCAATAAGTTTTTACATTCATGCAGATTTTGCACAGTTTCTACCTTAGTCAGGTAAATGAAATGTTGCTGTCATTTTGCACATCTCCTAATGTTGCTGCTATTTTCAAATATCCATTACTGTAAAAATGTCCACAGCTACATATTGGTTATTTATTCTCCAGGCGCACAGTTTTTATACTGCTAAAAACTTTACAGGACAGCATTTTATTTGTTTATTTTTTAAGTCTTCAGTATTTTTTCTAAGGTCCCCATTGTGTGAGCATCTTTTCCTATAATCTTTTTGCTGCTGTAAACACCAGAATTTCCCCATTGTGGAACAATAAAGGGATTTTCTATTCTATTCTATTCTATTCATTTTTGCTCTCATAGGAATTGTGATGTGCTGTGGAGTATATCACTCATCTATCTACCCAGGTTGGCTGAATCTCTGCAGCAGATGTTCAGGCTGAAGTAAAGGTTGACTGATACATGGGTGGCTGATATTTTGGAAAGATATTAGCATGTATTTATTTAATTTTTACACTAATTAATTGGCTCCTTGTGATCTCGTTGCATGTTTTATTCATTGGCAATGTTTTGCTTATTTTCATTCTCTTTATACTTTTTAATGAGTCTAGTGATTTAGTGAACAATATTCCTCATCTCCTCATCCCTTTATCACCAACATGCCTTCTGTCAAAATTGTTGTTATTTAACAGAACTGCACCCATGCTGTAAAACAAAAATACTTTGAACTTAAGTTAATTTGAAAGAGAAGAAGAGAGAAATTTATCTCATCCAAATAAAAAGTATGCATGTAGAATTTAAAGAATACATAAATTGTAATCCATGTATAACATAACTGAAATCCTTAAGATGCAAGTTAAAAAAGAAGATGAGAAAAGGTTTTATTTTTTTAACTCATGCCCCTTTATAATCTCAGTCCATTTTATCCTGTCACATAGACATTTATTGTAGTCAGCTAAAATAGCATAGATAACCCATTTATACTCATACATGCACATGCATAATGAAATTATATATATAGAAATATACAAATCCATTTTCATATCTCTCTGTAAGTATTAAAAAGTATGCTTTTATGATGTTTTATGATGATTTTTCAGAACTATTTCATTTTGCACTGTGCTTTATGTCTCTTTGCTCAATCTATTCCATAAAGTCACTACACATACATTTGTTTTCTTTGTAACTAGAGGAAGAAGAAACAATATGGCCACCCCCCCCCCCAAAAAAAGCAACACATATCGGTTACCGTTTAGCCTCATAATCAAAATAATTGGTATCAGTATTGGCCTTAAAACCTGGTTGATCTCTGTTTTGAAGACAGATTATTAGGTTCAGAGTGATGGAAGAAGAGATGAGAAGGAGAATAAAGAAGGAAATAGACACATAGTGCAATGTTTACAAATCTGATTATCAGCATTTTCTAACATCCATGTGCTGATCCAGAATAAACTAAGGCTTCGTTCTGAGGTTTATGACTTCTCTCCTGAACTTTCAGATTTTATGGGTATTAAATTTGATTTACACAGGCACTCACAGAGGCTCAGATTAATATTCAGTTTGTCCATCTGATCGCCGGTTGCGCTGCCGGAGGAAGCTGTGTTGGCACCAACTTTGCACATAATGGGCAATCAGCGTGATTACACTTAAAACTGTGGTCACAGATAAAGACTGACCCTCCGCTCCGTTATGGTGTCAATGGTTTGGTTTCGGCTTGTTAACTGGCCCAGGTCTGGGGTACTTACAGCTTTCCTGCAGGCTATAAATGGAGGGGATGACGGATGCCAGCATGGGGGATGGACGGAAAGGAAATTGGCATCATTAGTATTTCATGAGGAAGCTGCTGCTGAAAATATTTTTAAATTTATGATAGATTAATAATCTTTGTGTTCAGTTTGCTTGTTTAAAAAAAAAAAAAGTAGCAGTAGTATTTGAGAATCAGGTGCCCCAGGGGATTGTTTAAGAGTTTACTTTCATCAGACAACAGAGCTCATAGCGTTTACCTCACCATTTGTCAGATAAAAAGGCTTTTACTGATATTTATTTAAAGCCTAACCCATCTGAAGACATGCTACCTATGCTACAGATTAGAGATCTACCGATATAGTTATTTTCGAGCCCAATCCCCATTATTTTGACAGAACTTTAACTGATCCCTAATATGTGCTGCTGATTTATTTTTTTAATGCACTATTGCTTCTACCTCCTTTCACATGATAAAAATAACACAATAAAAAACAGATGTTAAACAAGTCTCATTTTAAACAAAAGAAACGCTTATTAAATAACAACACCAAACTTTTCCAAAGGTTAGCAAATGAAGGGAGCGGCAGTGCATGCTTTTCATGTGATGCTAAGGCACGGCTGCTTGGATGCAGGAGTAAATCAGTGATGCATGTAAAAAAATCCTCTATTGTTCAAAAATATTGGCCTTCTGATGTATCTTTCTACCTGCAGGATATTTATTTATTTTGTATTTGCAGGATAGCTATTTTATATTGAATTTCAGGCTTAATGAAAATGTGTATTATCTCTCTAAAATGTCACTGATGCCTTTTTTTTCACAACATAAAACTGTTTTCCACCCACATTGTGCAACGATATAGAGAATATTTTTGTGACTCTTAGGTAAAAAATGAAAGAAAAATAAACATGCAGGAGAGCCTTCTGCATGCTTGTCATTTTACATTTATGATCCGTAAAATCCACTGGAATAAAAGCCCATCAAGCCAACCCAAAATGCCGTGGTTCTTCTCCACAAAGCCACCTTATTTAAAGCTGTACTCTTTGCATTCTTACAAATCCCGCCATCTTGACACTGTATGTGCTTTCAGTATGTTTCAGTAGATTTCTCAGTCTACTATTCATGTATGGAGAGACTCAAACAGGCTTATCCTAATGGTGTTGGCAGGACCTCTCTGTCAGGATTAGCTCACTGATGCAGGGATCTGTCTTTATCTCTGAAGACTCACCGCAGCGAGGCTTGACCCCACGCCTCACACCGTTGTCACATGGCAGGCTAAATAACCCGCCACTTGACAGTTTGTGTTCATGCTGGCTTTATCCGTTTCCTTTTTTAGTTGTTTTTAGTTTTTTTTTTTTTTTTTTGGAAGGGTGTGTGAAATATTTTGGCTGGAGATGAATGAGGAAGAGGAAAGAACAGAAAGAGGGGGGTGATGCCACTTTTCTGCAGAGCACCGCTGTCAGTTGTAATGCAAATGAAGAAACAGGATTTTAGGTTTCATGGCTTCTGTCCAAATATAGGTCTGTGTTGCCACTGAACCACGGAACGTGAGCGATTTAATGGAAGCTTGAAAGATTCACAGTTTTTAAAAGAACTAGCGTCACCCCTCAGACTTGTGGACAGATTTTTTTTTATGAAGTTTTGGCCAACTGAGGTTGTTTTTTGCAGATTCCAATTTCTCTTTAAGCCAGGCTGAAGTCACCGAGGTAGTTGGAAAGCTACTTGTGTCAGGGCCCCCGGGGTGGATGAGATTCGTCCCAAGTACCTTCGGTCTATGGATGTTGTAGGACTGTCTTGGCTGAGACATCTCTGCAGTATCTTGTGGTGGTCGGTGACATTACCCCTGGATTGGCAGACCGGTGTGGTGGTCCCTCTCTTTAAAAAGGGGGTTCAGAGGTTGTGCTCCAATTACAGAGGGATCACACTCCTCAGCCTCCCTTGTAAGGTCTACTCCAGTGTGCTGGAGAGGAGGATCTGTCAGATAGTCCACCCTCAGATCTAGGAGAAGCAATGTGATTTTCTTCCCGGTTGCGACACACTGGACCAGCTCTATACCCTTCATGGGCTGCTAGAGGGTTTGTGGAAGTTCACCTAACCAGTCCACATGTGTTTTGTGGATCTGGAGAAGGATTTTGCTCGTGTCCCTTATGGTGGCCTGTTGAGGGTGCTTTAGGAGTATGGGGACTGAGGGCCCTCTGTTAAGAGCTGTCCACTCTCTGTATGACCGCAGTAGGAGCTTGGTTTGCATTACCGGCAGTAAGTCAGACCTGTTCCCGGTGCATGTTGGTCTCCGCCATTCCCTGGAGGGACTATGTCTCTGAGCTAGCCTGGTGTCGCCTCGGGGTCCCCCCTTAGCAGCTGGAGGAGGTGTGTGTGGATCGGGAAGTCTGGGCATCTCTGCTGAGACTACTGCCGCTGCAACCCGGAGGAAAGTGGAAGAAAATGGATGGATGGATGGATGGATGGATGGATGGATGGAAATTTGATATAAAAAATGTACAAGAGAGATGTTGGAATATTATTG